CCCGTGGCTCACTCGGGAGAGTGTGGTGCTCATAACACCAAGGCCACGGGTTCGGATCCCTATATAGGGATGGTCGGTTTGCTCACTTGGAGAGCGTGGTGCTGATAACACCAAGTCAAGGGTTAAGATCCCCTTACCGGTCATCTTTAAAAAAAAAAAAAAAATGATCCTTGCTATCACTGTTTGTATTCAGCATGGTACTGGAGCTCAAGTTAATAAATAAAAGAAAAAAAAATGTGGCATACAGATTGGGAATTAAGAAGTAAAATTATCACTATTTGCACTAAATTTATCACTATAAAACTAAAGTTTTATAGAAAACTTTAAATTATGCAAACTTTTAAAAAATGAATTTAGCAAGGTTGTAGGATACAAGACAAATATAAGTTGTTTTTCTATACATCGAGAACAAACAAAAAGAAAATGAAATGAAAATAACTCTTATAATAGGTTTAAAAAATTAGATACCTAGGAATGAATCCAATGAAAAATGGGCAAGACATCTACAGAGAAAATTACACAATAATTAAAACAATTGCACAAAACAATTAGACAACTAGAAATTAAAGACAATCTAAGTACATTGAGTGATATACCTACAGTTATGCATCACTTAATGATGGGGGTTATGTTCTGAGAAATGCATACTTAGGCAATTTTGTCATTGTGCAAACATCACAGGGTGCATTTACACAAACCTAGACAGTATAGCCTACTACACACTTAGGCTATATTCTATAGCCTATTGCTCAGACCACCGTCCTATATGCAGTCCATCATTGACCAAAATGTCATTTTGGGCACATGACTGTACTCATGAAATGAATTGATAAAAATTTGGTGGTGACCCCAAGTTCTTTCCCATGGGAAGGTGGGCGGGCATCTATGTCCCCTTCCCTTGAATTTGAGTGAGATTTTGACTGTCTCAACCAGTAAACTATAGCACAAATGACACTAGTTTCAAAGGCTAGCTCATAAAACTCACTCTCTTGGAACACTTGATCTCCAAATGCTCCCTCTTGAAATTGAACTACCATGTTGTGGGAAGCTCAAATGTCAAAGACCATTAAGTATTCCAATAAGAAGTACCTGCTCAGGTGCCAACGTATGAGTGGAGAAGCCTCCAAATGGCCATTTGTGTAACCCCCAGCTGAGACACTAAATACCATGGAGTAGACAAGCCATCCCTACTGTGTTCCATCCCAATTCCTGATTCAACAGAATCCATGAGCATAATAAAATGGTTGTTCTTTTACACCACATAATTTGGGGTGGTCTGTCATTCAGAAGTAGATAACCAGAACAAAAGATGTCAACTTTACCAAAATTGCTCTATAGATTCAATACAATCCAAATTAAAATCTCAGCAGGAGAAATGGAAAAGGTGATCCTACAATGCATATGGAATCACAAGAGCCCTGAATAGTCAAAACAATATTTTAAAAGAACAAAGTTGGATGACCCATGTTTTCTCATTTCAAGTTACTACAAAGCTACGGTAATCAAAACCATGGTACTGGCATAAGACATATAGATTGATGGAATAGATTTGAGAGTCTAGAAACAAACCTCTATGGTCAATTGATTTTCAACAAGGGTACTAAGACCATTCAAGGGGAAAGAATAGTCTTTCGACAAATTGTACAGGCCTGATCTTTAGAGGAGCCTGTTTACAAGGTTTGCCCTTAGCTATGTCTGGGAACTTGGGTTTTGAAACTTGCCCTAAGTGATAAGGTTGTGCCTGCTGTGCTAACCCGACTAGATTCTTGAAATAAACAATGCAATTTATAGTGAATATCTGCTTTCCTTCTAAGTGACTAGAATGGTGGAGAACAAGGGTACTTAGCTGATTAGCCCCCAATAAAGACCCTGTACTTTGAGTTTCGAACTGGCTTCTCTGGGCAGAAACAAGGTTTCTGTGTTACTGCTCAAGTGTCCTCCACATGGCCCCTCCAGGGAAAGCACAGGCAGCCTGCGTGCAGATTCCTCCCGATTCTGCCTGATCTGTCTCCCTGACCCAGCTCTGTACTCATGCTGCGTTGCATTTTTGCTGTAATAAATCTTAGCATTGAGTATGACTGTATGCCGAGTCCTGTGAACTCTTCTATTGACACAGTGAATGTGTGAGTGGTAGTGGGACTGCCAAAACAAGTGTATCAAAAGTGTAACACAGTGATGTCACAACTGTTCCCCACCATATGTATATTAAGAATTTTTAAATGTTTCGTTCACAACTCATAGTGACTTTTGGCAGTAATGAGATCTAGATCTTAACAGTTTTTCCTATCAAGTAAATTGTATGGGGCAAGCATATTTCAGACCTTATACATGTGCCAGTAGAATAAAAGCAACTTCCTCAAGAGGTAAGAAGGGCACATCCATACCTCTAAAGCAGTAGGACCCAAGACCGTGCTACAATAAGTTTTAAAGAAATGTATCTTATTGTACAAAATGCCCCCAAATACTAACACTTTTAGGTGAATTTTCTCTCTTCCTATTAGTTCAGTTCATTTACAATTTAAAACCACATTCTTATATATAACAGGATAATGGGAGCAGAAATTTATATGTAACAAAATACAAATAAGTGACATAAAATCTATTAGACTGTTATCAAGACACCATTGCATTACAAATTATTCCTACAACCAAAAACATTAGCTGTCTACAAATTTTCAGTTATCACCACTGCTGAAAAAACTGGTGGAAGCACATCAATTACATAGTTTAAAAAGAGCGTAGACATTACTCAGCACACACACACACACAAAGTATAAATAATTAGTTATCTATACACAGCAATTTTTTTTTTTTGGTGGCTGGGATTTGACAGAGACGCAAACCCTTGACCTTGGTGTTAAGAAACACCACTCTCTAACCAACTGAGCTAACCAGCCAGCCAATACATGGCAATTTTCACAAGTGAAATTAGATAAATCTCTACCTGCTGCCTTATTTGTGCAATACAACTGTCAGAATAATAAAGAGAAACATTATTTAAAAAATGAGAACTTTCACAAATCTGCATTACATTTTAGGGCTACTAACCTGTGATTAAACCTCTGCTTTGAACAAAAATATTTTGAATATTCTAGTTTATAGATAACACTGAATTTTTAAAAATTCAGATTTGTTATTGTCTTACTATATTTATAATTACCTAAGAGATTTTTAAAAAACAAAAAATATAAGCAATATTTCAGACTATCTGAATACACTGCAGCTCTATTTATACAGCCATGGCTAAAACATTAGCCACATTTTCCATGGCTAGTACTAATAAAATTAAAAACATGACTGATGATTCTACTGCAGAACTCAAGTTTTAAAACATTATCAACTGGACTGAACACTGAGTCCAGTTCAAACTGACTACCAATAAATATACATGACATAAATAGCTTCATGGCCAAGAATCTTTTAATCTGAGAGGAAAATTAATTTCCCTAATCTCTCCATCTTAAAAATACAGAACTGCGGGAAAACAGCATCTTGCTAAATGTCAATGACTGAATCATATCAAAGATTGATCACAGTGATAAAATAAATGTAAAGCCACAATGTAGTATTAATGAATGACATTTTTGCATATTAACTCTTAGGGTTACCCCTGTGCTCCGTGTTTGTGTGTCACCTAGTACCTTTTGGTACTTTGAAACTGATATGTAGTTGATTTACAAAGTAAAAATTTAATTTTCCCTATCCAAATTTAAGGGGAGGAGAGAACAGGTAGAATAGAGCAATAAAGCAAAAATGAATAATTATATATGGTTTACAGAGCCATTTGTGTAATGCTTGTACTGCAGGAATCATATACTTTTGATTTAGTTGGGGGATATTGGTGAGGGTGCCCTTACAAACTGCATCTCTGATTTATTGAATGTGGCTGTTACAAGTGTCTGGAATCCAATTTGAATATGGTTTTCAACTATGCCTCAAAGCACCCAGGACTTTAAGAGGTAGGATCCTAAATCCTCAAAAGAATACTCATTTTCTTCACTCCAAGGAGACTCCTAAATTAATGCTTAATCTATGAAAAGGTCCCTGGCTTTGAACTTACAGTTGTAAAATATAACTAATGATCCCTCTCCTTTTTTTTATTTAAATTAAAATATACTTTTTATGAGCATAAGTATTGCTTCACCTTTATTTTTTAATGCTGTAGATTTTATTGAATAGGTTATAAATGTGAAGGTTATTATGTCAACCTTACAAGGTATTTTCACCTACTAAGTTAAATGATGTAAAATATCTCCTTGAAAAATATGAGGTATAACCCTCAGGTATAAATTTTTAATTTGTTTTAAAAAAATTCATACATAATTATACATATTTATGGGATACATGTGATATTTTGATACATGTATACAATGTGTAATGATCAAATCAGGGCACCTGGGATATCCATCACCTTAAACAATTATTTCTCTGTGTTGGGAACATTCCAAATCTTCTAGCTATTCTGGAATATACAATAAATTATATAAATAAATTACCAGCCATAAAAAACAATGAAATCCTGTTATTTGCAGCAACATGGATGAGTCTGGAGGACAATATGTTAAGTGACATAAGCTTGGCACAGAAAGACAAATATCACATGTTCTCACTTTCAGTGTGAGCTAAAAAGTTGATCTCAGTAGAGAGTAGAATAGCAGTTATAAGAGGCTGAGAAGTATGCGGGGGACAAGGGGAAATAAAGAAAGACTGGTTAATGGGTACAAAAATAGTTAGATAAGAGAAATAAATTCTAGTGTTCAATAGTATAATAGAGTGACTATAGATAGCAATCATTTATTGTATATTCCAAAATATCTAGAAGATTTGGAATGTTCTCTTTGTTAGAATTAAGCAAAAATAATATACCCAAAATGGTGATTTGACTGATCATTATGTTACCAGTTAACTCAAGATTTTTAGTTAATTATGAGAACGTGTGCTCACTCCTTGGGAGGCCGATTGTACAATTCAGATGTAAGCAAAGGCAAACAAGAGTTAGGCAAGTTTCAAAAACTTTAATAAAGGAAAAAAAGACACTTCCAGAAATAAATGCCACACAAATGAAAGTTTAAAAAGGTGAAAGATACTCAAGAAACAAAATCCTTTACTATCAAAATATAAATCTAGTGGTGTTGAGTGTTTAAATTCAGGGAAAATGTAGGTTATAATAATATATCCAGTAAAGTAGTGTTTTTCATGATATGGCTGTTTCAAGATATCACTTAATATAGTTACTTTTTAAAGCCTATATTTTCTTAAACATCCATTTCACAATTCATTATTGTAATTATTTTACATTCATTTATAAAAACATATTTTCTAACAGGTTATTTTGTGCTTTAATAATAATGAACCCATGATAAAATACTCAAGTGAAATGCTTTGCTAATGACTACACTCATCACAGATTCTTGCACACTTACACAGCTACTGCAACAATTAGAAGAGCTACTGTTCTTAAAAATGGCACTCACTCAAGTTTTATTAGCATGCTAAACATTAAAGAAGTATTTTTTCCCAAGTTAAAACATTAGTACTTTCTAGTGTTCTTAAAATCTATAAAGATAACCTGCTTTATTTATATCACCTTTAGCTGGCAATTTATAAAAACAGAGAGAAGCATCATTTTAGAATTTTCTTTGTAACTTCTATAGTAAAAAATAAATGTTTTTCAAATTGTGATGGCATTAAAGTTCTATTTTAGAACTTCTAGATTTTAAAATGTTAAGAAAATGTAATTGTCAATTACATCTAGACAGGCATTTTAACGGATTAATCTAAAGATTCCTCAGGTCTATAAAGACTTCTTCAGAGTGGGTGACACTGCCTTACACTCATTTCAGTACTTTTGCAAATTATTTATTTTAGATGTGATCCAGAACAAACCCCAACTTATTTGAAATTCTCTTCTACAACAAGCGGCCAAGATATACCATCTTACAGACTGATAATTTAACAAAGAGATACTAAACTAAAACAATAAGATTTATATAATTAATGGTGATTAATGCCAAACGTAACAGACCTCATTTTCACAATTTGGAAATGATTTTCATGCAAAATTTTATATAGAGTTTTGATCCTTTACTTATAGTTAAAGTAATTTTTATCGTTTTAAGTAATCAAGACAAATAGTAGAAAAAGCATTTTATTTATATGGAAAAAGCTACAGTAAGATCTGTAAAAGGTGTCAATATTATATTGCCTATACAGAAAAAAATTCAAATGTGAATAGCAACAAATAAAAGTTACACATCTTCCTACTTAGCAGTGCAATTAATTCACATTGCAATAAAGTTAAGTCAAGTATAACAAAATCAAAACAAGTGTTTCTCCATAATCAGTATATTGAGAATTACAGTGTAAAGATCATTTCAGGTTTAAGAAATCTGCAATCAATCTACAGAATATCCTAAGACAAGGGAGACACAGTTAATTCATTTAATTATCATCTGTTGGGTTTTTTCAATACTGTTCACAGGAAAAAAGTAATGAGTTGACATACATGTAAATAGAATATATTTAGTCTATACAGTAAAAAAATACAAATTATAAAGTGAGCTAACAAAGAATGAAATCTGAATACAGATTTATAAAACTGACGACATCTTAGACAACACATACAGTATTTTTCATGTAAAAACATCTAGTTTCAGCAAAAAATAATTTGGTTGCTTTTCAGCTGCATTGTAGATCTTGTAAGCTGAAGATGCAGATGTCCAAGTATCTTAAAAACCATAATAAATGTCTTTCTCAATGCATACAAAATGATAAATGCTCTCATCACAGTCTTAAGGGTATTTTTGGAAGTTTGTTTTGTCTTGCTTCAGAAACACATTTAAGATGGGTAAAAATCAAAGGGTTTCATGATACAATGAAACAGTAAACAGTGCTCAATTTACTGCTAATGTTGAAAAAAACCTAGATTTTACAGTACTCTGGTATATATGAAAAATTTTTTGATTTTACATTGCATATTTCTGAGTCCATTCTCTTGCGTGTCTGTTGTATCTGTAGGCATATGAAAGGGATACAGTAAAAACATACAAAATTAATCTTTTAGAAGCATCCCTCTATATAGAACTGTATATGCTACCTTCTCATGCTTAATTGCAATAATCATACATATACCAATTATTTGATCAATATGAATTAGGCTCATGCATGAATAAAACAGAAAACATAAATGTTTAACTCATGAATTTCTCTGCAACCTATATGAAAATGTACCTAAAATACAAAAAATAAAACACAGAAACTAAGAAACAGAATTGAAATAGAAAAACAGAAATTTATCAAAACCAACTCAGAATGAGCATTATCTGCAAATTGCAAATAAACCTACAATACAAATAAGACGAAAAAGCAGATTGAAAAATTAGGTCAGATAACTACTCTTCCTGGGAGAAGACAGGGAATACAGCATTCAATACTTTCCAATGATTAAATTATTTTAATTCACTGCCTAGAATTATACACAGTTATTATGCAAACATAGAACATGTACTATAAACAATAAATGGGAAGAAACAAAAGTTTAAAAAGAAAGGTTTATTCCATTGGAATAAGATAAACTTAATACAAACATTATAAGCATAATTAAATGTACTTAAAATGTACTGATAATACTCATGTTTTAGCAGACTATATAGAAAAGCATGCAAACAGAAACTAACGTAAGTAAACACTTACTTTTCTTTGTCTGATTTATAGATTTGTGCAATATCTGGAACTAAGGGGTCATCTGGATTAGGATCACAAAGTAGAGAACATATGGACAATAAAACTAGATTTAAAGAGAGAGCATTGTATTAGATAATAATCTTTCTACTTTACACAAATTATATACGTGAAAATTATTTTACTGATTATAGATACTAAACTTATAAAGAAAACACAAAATAAAATAAACACATCAAATTACATTTTATACTAACTTTGGTTGGTAGTAAATATCTTTAATTTTTAAATTATAAAATTACAAAGAGTGTATATAATACAAAATTATTATACCTTTTGCAGTTTTAAATTCTATTTGAATTTCTATTTATTTAAAAAAAAAAAGTGGACCTCCAAAGCAGCTATTTACAACTTTTAAAGTTAAGAGTTTGCTACAAAGCACTCAAATTACCATTAACAATCCAACTTATCTTGGACATTGTGCTCATGTGCTGTTTTTACTTTGGCTTAGTGCTATGTATAGATTGTCTACAAAGAGGGAAGATTTGTAAGAATTTTTTCAGTGAATCTTTTATTCCATGTTGCTTATTTGTATTGCACACATTTAAAAATAATGTGAAGAGCTGCCTTTACATAAATTGTATATTTTAAAATCTAAATGAAAATGAAAATGTAGTTGTTGCTATACTACGTCAAAATAGTAATGCACATAGCTACACTTAAAAAAACTCTAAGTATCTGAAATAGGAGGAACAAGGACTCTGATTCCTCATTAGTCTGCTTCAATTGCATGTCACAACTTCTGAGGGGGTGGTGTACCCCTCCTTTCCCCTACTATGTTCCTTTATCTTTTCCTACTCTTTCAAGTCCAAAGGTGGATTTATAGGACAAAGTTGACTCTTAAATAACAGGGAAAGGGGGATGCTAAAGACTAAAAACAAACCTAATATATAAACATATTTTTTTGGTGGTTGGCTGGTATAGAGATCAAAACCCTTAACCTTGGTGTTATAAGCACCGCGCTCTAACCAAGTGAGCTAACCAGCCAGCCCTAAAAACTAATATTTTATTCATCTTTATCTTCCATTTACCCAATGAAACCTCAAGCCTTGTATATCAAACCAATTGGGTAGATTTTCTGGGCTCACTGACATCTCTAGAATGCTCCCAGACTAAACTAATGATAAAAAGCAAAACAAGGCATTTAAAATATAGAGAAGTGAAAAATGTACAAACAAATGAGCGAAGTATGAGCTACCTCATAAAATAAGCAAGAGTGGAGTTCCTCATCTCTTCACCCTGCCAGGAGCCATTTGCCCTGATTTCATTATAATGCACACAAACCACATGTTTTAAGATAAGGAAAAAGGTAACAGTTAACATTCACTTGAGTGCTTACTCCGTGCCAGGTGCACAATGACCCTATGTCATAACATTATTATAATCCTCTTTTTACATATGAGGAAACTGAGGCTGTTTAAATTCTCAAAGGACAGTTTCCATAAACCAACAATACTAATTAGTCTATAAAAAGCTACCAATGTCAAAAGATAAGTACGCAGCATCTGGCAGTCTTCCATTTCTTTTATATGTATAAGGACTTAGCTGTTTATGCCAAATGACATTCACTTTGTAAAACCATTCCAGGAAAGAGTACATAAATTTGAGTAATGCTTTGACACAGAATCTCTCCTTTATCTGATGCATGACAGTTATACTATGTGAAAGATTTTTAAAAGGATACTGGAATCTATATGAACATTGAGAACATTTTAGGTCAGAAATACTACCATTCATAAATAATTGATCTGAAGGGCTCTTATCTAATACTTGGAAGAGTTATGGCTGCGGACCCTGCTTCCTAAAAACCTCACCACTTTAAAAAACAAGTTATATATCCAGGTAATATTTATTAAAAAAAATTAAGAAATGACCACGAATTTGTACCATGAATCCTTCAAGAGAAACAATTTTCTTGAATTTATAAAAAAGGAAAAAGTTAGTATTTCAGGAGCAGATGCTTCTCACCTAAACAATGTTTTCCAACTGGTTCTCTTCTATTAGAGAAACAAGACACATACGAAGATTGCCAGCACAGTAAATAGTATTGGCTAATGAAACAAAAATGGCTTCTGATGACCTATGTACATAGCTAATAACTTAGCAAAGTACAATGCTATATACATCTGTGAAAGTTGAGAATCAGCATGAATTATATGTCAGTCATTCTAGTGATGCTCTCGATTATTCCAAGTGCATATAGACTAACATGCTATATGCTGTTAGTCTATATGCACTTCTGATATTTTTTCTTGGATGAAGTAAAATAGCTGTAAAGCTTTACTTATTAGTGTCAATAGTTCCACCTAATGAATGAGACAACTGTTCCCAAATCACTTTTAGTATCTCTTACTCTTTTTTAAAAGAGAAAGCCCAAGCTAAAAGGGTAAAATATCAATAGGCTTATCCCCAAATTTCTAGTTCTAATATTTTAAATTTCTTCTCATTTCCTCATTTAGATTCATCCATGCCACATTGACTCCCCTCCCTCCACACCCTGTTCATAAGCTAACCGCTTAAAGGCAGAGTAACATATGAGTTACGACAGCAAAGCATAATCAAAATAGGAAAAAGCACAGTAGATTGATTTTTTAAAACTTTGATCCCTGGATTTTTCTGCTATATTTTTCTTGTTTTGTTTTGTTTTTGGCAGCCAACTGGTATGAGGATCCAAACACTTGAGACCTTGCTGTTCTGTTGTATTTTTCCTGTCTCACCATTATCAACTATTTTAAATCTGATAAATGAAATTACCTTTTGATACAGTCAGAGCTGGTGACCATTGTGACCTCAGGATATCAAGACAAATACTTCCATTACTGTTTATGTTGGGATGGTAAATTTTTGTTGTGAAAGCAATCTAAACATAAAACAACAAAAATGTGACAATCCATGAACTATGAACAAATCAGAACCAATTTGCTCTAGGGTAAAATATCCTCAACTTTACATGACCTTACAGGAGAAATGCATCCAACACAAATTGAATGAGCATCTACTTTGTGCTGCTACACGTAGTTCCAGCTGGTAGGAATGTGAAAGCAAAGAAGTCAGTTTCCCTTTTTCCTTCCTCAAGGAATTGAGAAGTATTTTGGAGACTGTAATAAATACATCTGTAGTAGCTGGTATGACTGGTCGAATAGAACCTGAAGTAATTAACCATGGCTTTCATCATACCTCAAAGCAATCTTTTTCTTAATTTATCAGTAATACCTGGAAGTGACACTTGATCTAAAAACAGGGTGCCGACCCTGTTTCAGGGCAAAGTTGAGGGGCCTAAACTTGTTACCTGTTCTAAGAAATCCACCAAGAAACCTCATTTCCACAAGAGTTGTGTTTTTAAAAATCTAAAATAATTATTTACCGAGGGGCAGTATCTATTCATTTTTTCCTCTTTGATAACCCCATCATTTGTTTCCTCTTTAGATTGAATCTAAATCAAATTTAATAAAAACCTGTTTTTAATCTTCTCCACTTCACTAAATGAAGGGATTGTGTCATATTTACTTTTGCATTCCCCGATGGAGCAGAACATGGTACATGCTCAATAAATGTTTATTGAATACTTAAAAACTAAGACAGAAGGGTCAACTTTGGAAAGATAATCCCATGAATAGAAAAGTCTGATTCTTGATTATAAAAACTTTCCAAAGTACACATATCTAATAAAGAGGGAAAAAAAGTTAAGAACCTAATGTATAGCATAACAGATACCGCCTTTTGTTTTACAGACATAATACAATACTGGAATAAGAAAGCATATTTTAGATTCAGTGGTTTTAGAAAACAGTTTAAACATGCTAACCTACCCACAGGCTTTGACATCATAAAACTATCTCTAGATAAAGAGTAAAATCCCTGACATGGAAATCACATCAATCATAAAAGTAAAAATACCTTTGGTGGTTTAAAAGGATAGTCTGTCGGAAAATGGACAGTGAGAAAGAAGACTCCTCCTTGATATGCGCTATCAGGCTGAAATTACAAAACATGCATTAGTGGTGATTTCTCCAAATATTATTATTAATACTATTATAAATATAAATATAATTATAAATATTATAAATATTATTATAGTTTAAAAATACCATCATATTTAAAATTATTTCATCAAATAGTATGAAAAATATGCACCTGCCATATTTTCAGAATAGTCTGAAAAAAATGCACCTGCCATAACTTCAAATCACTTACCTGGAAAACAAGTTTCCCTTTGCAGGTATAAAGGAAGACTTTCCAACAATTATGCCAACACCATAAAGTTTAAAACAAAACAAAATAGGACACACACACTGGTGTGACTTGCCCAAACAAATCTGTTTATTAGTACAAATTTTAAAAAATCAATATACATGTAAGATTGCTATGAGAAAAGATAATTTTCTGTAGCAGTAATCAGTATTTTAAAAAAGGGATGGCACTAGTGTTACCTTTTTATTTATAAAACTTAAGTTCTGATGGTCACTTAAGGGCCAAGAATGAAGATGCACTGAAGAGACCAAATTCCGAAAAGAAAGGCTAAGTGACACTGGTACAAATTTATCTCTCAAATCTTGATTCAGTAACAGTTTACAAAATCATGTGGAAAATACAAAAAAGTTCAAAATGAAACTAAATAAATTCAATATTCATGGTACTATCAAATCAGGAATCAACTTTACAGGAAGAAATTAAATTTGTTCATGTTTCTTTATGTTAGAAAATATTTATATTGTAAGCAAAAAAAAAAAAAATTTAAGAAAAGAAAAATGTTATCAAAGTATACCTAAAATTCTATTTTAATTCCTTCATAGTTAATTAAGAATATTATGTTATATTAACATTTGGGTAGTAACAGCAAGACTATCATTACTTTCTCTGTAAGTTTCTGCATATATGTTAGAGGATTGTTCTGCAAAATTATTCTTTCTATATATTGTTTAATTCTAGTTCATTAAAATTACAAGGAATGTAGAAAAAGCAAGTAAATTACAATGACAGATAAGGTCTGCTTAGATAGTTAAATGATACTACAAAGTATTGTAAAGTATATGTTTGCATTGCTAAAATAAGGGAGGTATGAATAATATAATTGTAACCATTTGTTACATGTGATTCACCTAAGAAATACTTGTGAAGGGCTATAATTTAAACGGTAAGAGTGGGCCTTTAAATGATAGTATTTTGAAGGCTCCTGATAAGTACTGAAAAACAGACAGAAATAACTAGATTCTTATTGAAAGTTGTTATATAAATAAATGTTACATTTTACCATTTAAAAACTCAACTTAACATGACAATTTAGTAATTTGAGACAAATAACCATGAGTCCTACTTTGAAGTTCAGTAGTTTTTGTTTGTTTGTTTGTTTTTAAATTAAACCCAAGACAATATGATTAAAAACTCTAACTTACTAGATAAAGCTCCATCAGGGGAAAGAGGAAATACTGACGTTCATGAAACATGTTACTAAATGTATTCTCACTCAAATAGTAGATTTGACCTGTCTGTGCCCACTTTTATGCAATCAGATTTTTGCTCAGAGAAAGAAAATCCTGTTTCAAGTTATAACTGTCTCTCAGGTATAGAAAACAGTGATTTTAACAAAGGTAATTAAGTATTAAGAGGAGCCAGTTATAAAACAGTAGGTAATTTTGAGTTCAGAACAATGAGATAAAATTAAAAGCAGCAAACTCATAAGGTGGCAAAGATAGACCCACTACAGTATTTTATCAAATCTCTTTCACAAACAAGAGGAGTGATGAAACTTATTGCAAAGTGGTGCTTGTTACTTGTAGGAATTCCATTATTGGGTTAATTAGACTTATTTCTTTCTTTCTTTTTTTTTTTTTTTGTCCTTTTTGAGACCAGCCGCACCGCGCTCAGCCATTGAGCGCACCGGCCATCCCTATATAGGATCCGAACCCGCGGCGGGAGTGCTGCTGCGCTCCCAGCGCTGCACTCTCCCGAGTGCGCCACGGGCTCGGCCCTAATTAGACTTATTTCTTTCTTTCTTTTTTTTTTTTTTGTCCTTTTTGAGCCCAGCCGCACCGCGCTCAGCCATTGAGCGCACCGGCCATCCCTATATAGGATCCGAACCCGCGGCGGGAGTGCTGCTGCGCTCCCAGCGCTGCACTCTCCCGAGTGCGCCACGGGCTCGGCCCTAATTAGACTTATTTCTAATGTACTAAAAACTGGGGATGTGAGAATGATCATGCTTAGTTATGAACAACTAACTGTGACTAAAACACACAAAAAAGATAAAGCAAACACACTGCTTGGTTGCAAATTGTGGGTGATCCATTACTACATGTAATGATCAAGGATTTGGCAAAGGAAACATCACAGTGATCCTAGCAAGAATTTACCACCAATGCTCTAGGAAATCATCACAAATCCTTATACAAAAAATTATATTTTACTTCTTGGGTGATTCAGAGTACAAGAAAATTCAACCTCAGTCACAAACCTGATCGCAGGTGTATGGTAAGAATGAAGTATGTCTGGGGATTAATTTCATATATACGAATCATACTTACAGGCCCCATAATAGTTGCTTGCCAGTGGAACACTGAAACAAACAAAGGAGTTTTGGAGTCATTAACAAATCTTCAAACCTATATTTTTAATGGTAGCAAAATCCCAGCAATAGAACAAAGCTTACAGTCATCTCCCACAGGTCCAGCTGAACAGTGAGCAGGTGGATCACGTTGTAGATCACTTAATTCCTGAAAAAAAGCAAAAATTCTTAAGGTTATCTCTTTTTCCAATGAAACAAGTATTATAATCCATCAAGACACAGACCATTAACTTCACTTTAAAATCATTTTAGGCTGTTCTCTTCAAAATATAAAAACATAAAATGTACTCTGTCATTGATTCGCAGAAGAGTACGGAATAAGGTATTAAATTCTATCATAAGGCAGCTCCAAACCTTGAAAAGATGAAATGAATTAAAATGATGTTTTTCTTTAACATCCCTGAAACAAAAATTTCAATAAGTATCTACTGTATGCAAGGTAGTTTATATAAGTGCTAGGTAGATAATATATAAAAAACAGGTCCTGTTTCCAACAGGTTACTATCTAGTGAGGGAGAGTGAAGGCTCAGAAAGATGAATATTTAAGGAACAACCTGAAGGTTAAATGGAAAGAAAGGAGGAAAGCAGTCAGGCCATGATTTGAAGCCTAGAACATTGATTCATATGCTCTTGCTTGCCCTTAAATCAGCAAAGGAACGATCATAGAAAGGACTCAGCTTCAGAGTTGGCCAGTCCTGGGTTGGAATTCTAGTTCTTTTTTATTTTTGGAATTCTAGTTCCAACATAACTAGCTCTATGGCCTTGGGGAAGTTACTTAACTTCCTTAGCCTCAGTTGGGAAGAAACTGATCACCCCCAAATAAGAAGGGTATAAATTCAACATAAAGGACTACAAGTGAAGAATGTAATTTAGTTTGGGAGATCAAAGAATGTCTCTGAAAAAGTGACATTTACGTTGAAATCTAAAGGATGACTAGGAGTTAGTTTGAGGCAAATGGGTGACATTAGATATTAGAGTGGCATTATATGAAGCTGGAAAGGTAGACAGAAGCCAGGCAGAAAACAGACAACAATATATGCCAAATTAAGGATTAGGGGTTTTATACCAAGTGTATTGGGAAGGGTTTAGTAAGTGGCACGGTCAGATTTAAAGGATGGTTCTGACTGGATTAGAAATGCGAAAGAGGAGAAGCTACAAGATTAGTTACTACAGGCAAGAAAAAGGGGGCTTCAACTGGAGAAGTGGCACAGAGATAAAAGTGATGAATTTGAGATATTTTGAAGGGCCCACCTATCATAGGATTTGATGATGAATTACATATGCAGAGTAAGGAGAGAGGTCACAGACATGTATGATGAAGATTAGTGGCAGCTAGAATTTACTCAGTGTCTTCGTCATCCTAACAATCCTCAGAGGTAGGTGTTAACATGTTCCCCATTTTACAGATGAAAAGCAAAGGTGACAATGCCTCACTGTATGCTCATATAACTACTAAAGGGTGGAACTGGGATTCAAACCCAGGCAGTCCAACTTGTTTCTTTTTAGCTTTACAAATGCACAAACGTAGATGCCATTTACTGAGATAGGGAACACTAGAAGACAAGTCGATCTGGAGAGTAGACATGTTGAACCTGTGATCCCTGTGATATCAAGAAAAGATTTAGTTCAACCTACAGGGCTGGTGCTTAAAAGAGGGTATGGCTAGAAATCAGAAAATCATTATATATACCTGGTATTTAAAACAGTGGGAATGATGTAGCCATTTTCGTGGGAACACATATAAATAAATGCTGCATTTCATCATATCTAAGATGTCATTGACTGTAAATCGCATCTTCATTTCATGTACCGATAATTAAGCTAAAATGCTGCCAATTAATTTTAAGATACCATCAATTATAAGACACACTCACACTTTAGAAATGTGACCCTTAGAATCACTGCAATATGATAATAATAGCAATGAGTTCAGCGCTGTAATAGAGACAAACAAGGAAGAGGATGTGATAGGGAAAGGCTTTCCTAAGAAAGTGATATATGAGCTCAGTAACTGAGCCAAGTGCCAACTCAGGTCTCCTTCTTCCAAGTCTAATGTTCTTTTCCAGTAGACCCAAGTACTTTCATTTTTGTTTTGTAGCTCTTTTTTTAATAGCTGGTGCTGTTTCTCTTCCTGACAAGAATTAACTAACATGGTGAGTGCTTTTTTGGATCATGTACAGTTAAGTAAAACAGAGAAGGATTTCAGTCTTCAACTTAGCTATACAGAAGTGGGTAAAAGGCTTTGAAGTTTAAGATCACTTGCCACGTGATCCTGAAAAAATCATTTTTTTCTCATCAAACATCAGTTTTCTTTCATGCAAAGTGGCATTACCACCTTCATCCATAGTTTCTGACAATCAAGTGAAATGATACATGAAGTGTACAGCACAGTCTCTGGCACATAGTAAGGATTCAAGTAAGTGTGAAGATAACATGGAATTGATAACCATCATCCAACTTTCAGGTAGAATACAATTATTTAAATAGTTTAAAAGACTAGGGGAGGAGCAGATCACAAGTCACAGTCCCATTTCAGAATGACTACGCTTTATAACATTTTTCTAACTTGGGCTTTTAGGAGATTGCTTCTGAAATTATTCATCATGTTGAGTTTTCTAAATATTAGTGTAAATGGGACTTATTTGCCCTCATTTTAACTAGAAAACTAGTTAACTAGAAAATGACAGTTTCTAATTGTGGTTTTAAAAAACTATTAATAATTCGCATGTATATATTTTACATAGAGATAATGTGTATGTGAATAAACCATACATACACACAATACACACAAATTAATTTTGTTTACTAAGAAGAAAAGTCAAAACCATATTTTAGTTGGAACAGCCTTGAACCATATTCAAATTTCAAATGTCAGGCTGCTCTTCAAATCCCTTTAAAATATTATAGAAGAATAAAGGTCATCTCTTTTTATTATTATTTTTTAAGGTCCTGATTCTACCTCCTTTGTCAGAATAAGTTAGGGCCAAGGAAGTGAGAGAGAAAATCTAACAAACAAATTCCTGCAAAGGTCAGGTTCAGGCTATCTACTTGAAGCTCACTTGTTTTAGGAAAGAGGCAGCTGACAGTATATCGAGCATCCTTAATATTCACATCAATCATCATTTACTACTAATAATTACAGTAATGCTCTGGCAAGGGGACTTACACATCCTAGACTTTTTAGGAGGGTCTAGATTTCTAACATTCTAATTTCAAATGATTCCCTTTGTCAATCCATGTGTCTGGAAATATTCCCCGTTATACTATTTGGATGTATGAAACTAAAACTATGGTGCATATGTGCAGACAGAGCGACAAACAGAAAACAAAAGGCATATCCACAAAAATACAGATTTTAAACTTAAAAAAGAAAAATGAAGATTTTTAGAAAATTTTGAGATGTGCTAATGGGATGAAAACGTAAAACAAATAAAAACTACGACCAAACACATCAAAACCTTACTTTTTGCTTAGTCTATTAAGCAGCCAGTGTACTTTCAGATGATACAAGAAATCAAGGATCACTTCTATTTGTTAGATTCTCCCTTTTGACTTAGATTACCCCAACTTTTTCTGAAACTTTATTATCTGATTTATGCTTTCTCTGCTGTAACTGGCATTCTTACTTATCTACTTCTTGCATAAGAGTCACATATGAGGCATTAAAAATAATTTAGTGATTCTTATGTAATTCTCTGTAAGAATTAACACTGAATTATACAACATGCTAAAGACCATAGGATCCTCACAAGAGCCAAGGTTTAACTCCACATTCCTCAGCTAATGGAAAACTCTCTAAAGAACAATTTATGACCTCAGACTTCCACTTCTTGAATACTTACTATTCCACCACCACCCTGAAGTAGAAGATGCACCCTATGACAGCCTCCCAATAACTGTTTCATGAGCCCCTCATGCCTCTTGCCTAGATCTCCTCATGGCAATGTTTTCATCTCATGCTGAATTAAAAGAACTCAAAGACAAAACATTTAAAACCTTTCATTTTTAAATTAAGTATTGTATCTATGTGTGTGCGTTACAAAAGCAAAACAAAACTGTGACTTGTAGGGAAAAAATAGAAAAAGCAACATATAGTCAAATACTCGTGAGACCATTACCCAGACCAAACCATTGTGAACAGATTAGAATACTTCCACCCACAGCTTTTTTGAGAAACAGTATGCCACTCACTGTTGGAGGGAGTGTAAGTTGAGACAGAATCTTTTGGAGGGCAATTTCGTAATAACTGTCCAAGTGACAAATACATATGGTCTCTGACCCAGTAATTTCACCTCATAGAAGTAACTGCCTAGGAAGCCAAATATATATACATATAAAAGGATGTTCAGTGATGCATCTTGTACTAGGATGAAACACTGAAACTAACCTAAAGTTCCATCAACAAGAGAATGGTTTAATAAAATGATACAGCTACATTATGAAACACTAAGAAGCCATTAAAAAGAATCAGACAGCTCTGTATATGCTGACATTGAAGGATACTGAGTGAACATATCATGTTTGAATGAGAAACACAAGTTGCAGGAAAGTATGACTATTATGATCTCATAATATATACACAAACTATACATACGTAAAAAACAAATAAATAAAAGGACACACACCAAACTGTTAACAGTAGTTATTTCTTGTAGTAGATTGCTACATTTTACTTCATGTCTTCCATATTTTTTCAATTTTTTACAATACCTTTGTAACTTGTTAAAGAAAAAAATTAAGATTTTTATTCAGGTTCTTATGCATTTTAAGAGATAAAATGACATTCATTTTTTCTCCACATATATTTTAAGCATCTTCTCTTTTCATTAAAAACTTTATAAGACAATGGAAAACTGAGGAACTATCACAGATTGGAGTATAGACACTAAGGAAACCCAACTACTAGATCTAATGTGGGATCCCAGATTGGATTCTGGAAAAAAAAAAGGACATTAGTGGAAAAACTCATGAAATCTGAATTAGGTCTGTAGTTTAGTTAATAGTAATGTACCATAGTAATGTACCAGGGCCGGCCCGGTGGCTCACTCGGGAGAGTGCGGTGCTGATAACACCAAGGCCCCGGGTTCGGATCCCATATAGGGATGGCCGGTTCGCTCACTGGCTGAGCGTGGTGCTGACAACACCAAG